TGGCTCCTCTGCTCCTGATCTCACTCATCAACTTAACTTCCAGTCTGCCTGCCAGAACCCTGGGGAGTCGCTTCATCAATGGGCCGACAGAGTCCTGACCTTGGCGACTCGAGCCTTCCCTAGTGTGCCTGATGTGCACACTCACGCTATACCTCGGCTGTGCTATGGAGCTGAGGACAGAGATGCTGGTATTTACGCACTTGATGGGCATCCCCGGACAGTGGAGGAAGCCGTGGAGCGCATGCAATACTATCAGCACTCCCGGCGTCACAGGCCTAAGCCGTCGAGGGAAGTGAGAAAGCTGGATTCTGCTCAGGACATGAAGCAGACTGATCCCAGGGGAGTAAATGTTGCTGTGGAGGAGCTCGCAGCCCTCCGGAGCAGGATAGAGAAACTCGAGGAGTTGATTAGGTAGAGGGAAGCTGCCCACTTCAGAAACATCAGAGGAGTGGTACCCCGTCACCCAAATGGACGGGCCGGACCGGAAGCCTGCTGTATATTTCAGGTGTGGAGAGGTGGGGCACTTCCGTAGAGATTGCCCCACCCGAGCTGCAGGGAAGATAGTGGCTACTGACGGGCACAGAGGCGGGACCAGTATGGTAGGATTCCCTGTGGAGACATTCCCTAGGTCGGATTCAAAGGAGTTGGGGATCGGTGTTCCCCACTCCTGTGTGCGGCGCCGGCGCAAGCGCCGCAGGCTGAAAGATCAATTTGGGATGCCACCATCACCGGAGCTTTGCTTGGCTGAGGAGGAAGTGGTCACCATGGAAGAGGAAGTGGGGACTCCCCACTCCACTCTGGAGCCGTTTGGACCAGCCATGGTTGGTGATGAACCCCCAGACCTGGGGAGGATGGACCCATGTGGTGTTGATCTGATGTCACCTGCAGGGATGGGTAATTCCTGGTCACCCGTGGCAGTGGGATCGAAGGAGCCCTCTATACCCACTGAGCGGTTATGCGGATCTAAAGGTTTTATGGTTGGCCTGTGCGTGCAAGGTATGGAGGTCACAGCAGTAGTGGATACAGGGGCTGAGGTCAGCGTGTTGTCAACCAGAGTGTATGATCAGCTGGAGCCTAAACCCCCAATCCTGGATTATGTGACTATGAGACAGGCCGGAGAAAATGCCGAGTTAGAAGGGTTTATTGTGGGGCCTGTCACTGTGTGTATTGGCCAGCAGGAGCATGAGATGGAACTCTATGTTGCCCCATTGCAGGACTCAATGCTGCTAGGAATGGATTTTCTCTGTGCCCGGAAAGCCCAGCTGGACTTGGGGCAAGGGACCCTTACTCTGGGGGATGAGGCCATAAAGGTGGAGTTCAGGAGGTCATTCCAGAGGAAGGAGTGACCTTGACAGGAGGCCCACTAGTTGAGGCAGACAGAAGTAAGTCTGTTCCCCGTATAGTGAGAGATTTTGGTATTGTGGCGCCTCTGACCCATCCTGGAAGTACACTGGGTATACCAGACCCGGTAGTAGAGATGTTTGGAGAGTCCCTCTTGGATTCTGCCATAGAGGATATCGGTGTCGAACCACTATCCCCAGGACCAGCCCCAACCTTCTTTAAAGGAGGCGGCCTGTGGTCATGTTTCTTGGGGATTGCCGACTTGTGTGGGCAGGGGCCCAACCCTGAAGGTAGAGGACACCAAGGACCATGTTGCAGAAATCGGGACAGCCCCGTATGATTCAGGCAGTCCCTGGTCGTCTGATGATTCGACACTAGAGGAGAAAAGTACTTCTCGCTTGTACAGACCTAGGCGGAGGCGTGGGCGATGCCGGAGGGCAAGTTTGCCCTCCAGAGCCTGATGGTGAGAGTGTTGTCAGTTTTTGAGTTGTTAGTGGGCCTGGTGACTTTGGCCCACTCGGTGAATGTTATACAGGAGTTGTTAGAGGTAATCTGGGAATTATCCCGGACATACCACCTGGTAAATTTGTGTAAATCCTTGTGGTGGTTTAGACTGGAGCTTGCTCCGGCACTTGTTATTCTTGGGCAGTTAGCCCAGGTGGGCGTTTACAGCGCCCCAACGTTGGAGATGGTTCCAGACCCTCTTTCCTGTGGTAGACTCCAGCCTTTCAGAGAAAACAGGGGGGAGTGTAGTATCTGTGCGACTGTCCCGTGGTACGACTTAATGTCTGTATTACGTCAGATGGCGGGATAGTCGCACTCCCTCTCTCTACACCTGGATGCCAAGGAGACGGACGTGTCTGGGACAGCAGTGGAGCGGGAAATCGACCCGGGCCAGAACCCACTGTGATTGTCTTTGTATATATGTTGGATGATAATAAATATATTGTAAAGCACACCCCCTAGACGGATACTTTAATATTTATTGACAGATTTTTTTCTAAATGAGGTTTTTGTCGTTGAACCTGCCTTGAAAAATGCAGAAATTATCCCACCCAATTACTATATAAAATCAAAACAATTGCTTCCAAATAATTTAAACACTATAACATTCTGAAATATTTGAGAATATAGCGTTATCTATCATATCTATCATTTGTGCGTAAAAAATCGCATTATGGACTCCGTTATGGACCCGTAAACATGAAGTATCTAAACTCCATACAAACGCTAAACATGGCGGTATTTGTGGGGCGATATCTTTTAAATAAGTCAAGAAATCCCATGACAGGATCGTTTTAAAATGTTTAGAACATATCAAATTAGTAATATAAAAAATACGAAAAAAATTCATTGACAGGAATTTTTTCAGCTAAAGGTCCTGTTCCTCCTTAAACAAAATGTTGATTTCTTTGATTCATCAACTTATTCGTCAGTAGTTTGCGTTGTTTAATACTAATTCACAATTGGAGTATATTCTAGTCACAGGGGCCGGTAACATACTGTTTTTGATGTTACGTAATCACTTCATATATACAAAAAGCTCTTTTTGTATACATATAGTGATTACGTAAAATCAAAAACAGTATGTTACAGGCCCCTGTGATTCTAGTGTATGTTTGTGTATGAATCAACTTTGAGACATAAACTGAATATACAGCTGATAAATAAGGAGGAATGATTCCTTTTTCATGTTAAAATGGTGGTTTATTTTTCTTAGTTATTGATACATGTTCTTCAAGTTAAATATAACTGACAAACTATAACAATTTAATTCAAAAACAATACATTCATATTCATGTTTTTCTAACACAAATAAACTTAGGCTATGCCTATGTTATTCTCTTTAGAGAAGTGGACAGGCTTGGATGTAGGCAATAGCCTGTCCACTTCTCTAAAGAGAATATGCCTATGTAACAATCACTATATTGAAAAAGAGATCAATTGGTCATGAATGTCATCTAAACGTTATGAGTTTCTCTACACTTGACTTGATTCATCATTTCTAAGAATTAATTAAACTTCACCTCCTTCTAAATCATGAATAGTCCAGGTGACCTTAAAAGAGGCCATTGAAGCATGATATCATATATTGAAAACATATGATCCATTATTAACAGTGGGTATCATAATAAGCTGTTACATTCACAACATTGTAAATCTTGCTGAGTTAAAAATAAAAAAATTAAATAAAAGTTACAGCAACGTCTGTTTGATTACACTTTTCTTGCCTATTTTCTGTGGAGAAATATGTGTCCAATGAATACAACATCCTTGCAATACATGTAACTTACAATTACAAAAAAATTGAAATTTTGAAAAATTGAAAAAGTGAAAGAACTATATGCGGTATATTGCATATATTTGCCCCCACAAAAGTCAAATTTTGAAAACTTCCTGAAATGTGCTGAATTCAATAAATTGTATAAGAAATATAAATTAACAGAACATATTATAGTTTCAAAGTATTTTATTCATAATTTTTGTTTTTATGACGTCACAAACTAATCCGATTTTATATCCTTTTTCAGAAAGAGGACAAAATGGACAAAATTTCAACAATTTTAGCTTTAAAATTTATAGAGCGCATGTTTGTTCAGGAACAATATTTACATATTTCATTGATATTATCATTTGACACATTATATCAAAATATTGATCCTGAACACACATGCGCTCAGTGATTTTTAGTCAAAATATCGACGAAATAAATACATTTTTCTGTAGAATTCATGAAAAAATGAAATTTACGTCATGTTTGTGACGTCATTACGTACATATGACGTCATTACTTATAAAAATATTCAGTGCTTTGAAGTCAGCATATACCCCCCTGTTTAGGAACTTAATTAAATATATCTCCATCAAAGTTTGATTTGGGGGGCAAATATTGGTTATTACCGAATAAAGTTCTTTTGTGAAAAAAACTTTTCATGTGGAGAGGGACATGGATTTACATCATACTTTTATGAAGACATGTTAATTTAATTTGTGTACATAAAATCTTTGTACAGTAAAAGTGAAAATTAAAATAAACTAGAGGTACTGTGGGTATTGAGCTCACTAAATGATACCCCAAAAATCTCATATCAAAGTCCATGTTTTTCTCTGGGAGGTTAGTGTTGGATCAAAAAGTAAAATAGGAGTATAAGAGACAAGTACATGTACCCTTCAATATTATAGAAAGAATAGCTATGTCCATGTTTTGCTATGGGAAACCCAAAATAAGTTGAATCAAAAAGTCAAATAGGAGGTCACAATGGCACTATGTAACAAAGATTCTGTGAAAGTCCCATTAAATTTTTCATTCAGTGGTATAAGAGGATCGAGTTGTGGATAAGAGATGGATACCCCAAAGCACAGCAGACAGACAAATGAAGGACGGATGCACAGACAGACGGCAACAGACATACAGATATCCCGATCACTACCAGGTATGTAGTGTACCCCTCCTCCTTTTCAAGCAGTGGGGTATAATAACAAAATGTTTCTTTCCCCCTCTCTCTATAATTTTAACTTAACTGAATGTCTTTTGAATCCACAGATCTATATATGGATTACCTTAGTAAACATAGAAATTTGATTATATCATTTAGAGATATGTGAATGGAAGACAAAATGAATCACTTAATGATGAAACATTGTAAATTATACAAAAAAAAAATACAATATTATCTAAATGTCTTATGTATCAAATACCTACAAAGAGTAATCATAAAAAATATGTGAATAATGTCTGGTCGGATTTCGTGAACATGGCCTGATGCTGAACACATTTGTACATGAGCAAGAACCTTTCCCATATGCCACTCGTCTTTGGAATATTCATAAGAAATGCTAAAACAATTAATTAACTTCCCTCAGCTACATAATCGCCATATTTCAAATGCTATTTTTGGCGTGACTAGGGCAGATATTAGAGAGGTCAGTAGGTTAACGCTGTGATTATCCAGTAGTTCCATGCCGGAGATGTACTCTACGTTCTGTCCTGAACGTTCAACGACACACTTCCTCTTCTGATCAAATCCTAAGAAAACAATAGGCTTACCTTAAAAAATTGATTCCATGTATATACATATGCTGACTGAATTAATATCTTTTGTTTGGTATTTATGCAAGTCCTTTATTTAATTAATCCAAGGGAAAAATTTCTCACCTACCTACTGACCAAATATTTTCATTCTGAGTTGGAAGAGGGCAAAGAAACATTATTTTGATGTTGTCCTGACGTTTCATTTTTCAATTTTAACCAGTGTGTAAAGTAATTGAATATTGATAAGCTTTCTTCTCGTTTGAAACACAAAGAAAGACAACTCTTCAACACGCTATTCATATAATATAATTTTCATACACATGTATCAATCTGATTAAAATCGGATCCTTTGATCTGTTCACATAGATCGCTATGATCTATACGAGTGGATCAAAGGATCTGATTTCAATCAGATTGACACATATGTATCAAATTAATACTGCAGCAAAAAACTTATATACATGTATTTTGATTGTGAGATTTAGACTAACCTGAGTATTGAAATGTTGCTCCTAGGAATGAATCTATAGAAGAACCGATGAACCCCATAAGCACCCCCACCAACACAATGGGCCACTGTGGGGGGCCTTGATTGATAAAGGACTCTCTAAGCAGGAAAATCTGGGTGAGATAGAACCCCAGACCTACAAGCCCCCCTCCCACCAAACTGAAAATCATTCCAAGGACAGTCACTCCTCCATTGGTACCTGAAATATTCAATTTTTTGGAAAATATTAATCAAAATACACATACTTTAGTCTTATTCCAGCTGAGCCTCACCAAAGCTTTGTCTTACATGTAGGTGTTTGTTCCTTTACAGTAATATTTATTTTAAAAAAATATCAAATTTTTTAATAATTTATCAAAGTGTTTAAAGGAGAATGAAAACTAAAAAGAACCCTCCCATCCCCCATCCCCTAAAAAATATTATCATGCACATTAACCTTGCTTACATGAACTATCAATTTAATTCCCATACATGTGAAAAATACCTGAAACTCTCTCTTGGTGTTACAAGTAACAATGATGTGCCATTTAAACGATTTAATCTTGACGTATATATACATTTAAACACAAAATCAACCTAAGTTGAAGTATAAATGGTCTCACCATGGGGAACCTTTGTTAAAGTTGTTATGAGCCTTGGTTCCGTGTTCCTGGAAAACACGGCACCGAGTTCTGATGAGAATGTGTCCCCACAGCAGCAGGCAAGGGACCCCAGGACAGCCATGGCGAGCCAGGAGGGGGAGTAGTGGTGGGAGAAGTCAATGACCACCTCCCTACATCCCACTTGGAACATGTACTGCAGCGCGAACACGGCCGCCATCCCACCATTACAGAGAACCTGAACCCAATTCCTCTGACCACCTGTTATAGAATAAAACTGAAGTGTGATTTAACTATCATGGGTATATTTTGTATTTATGCATAAATGTTTACAAATTATTAAAAAAAAAATTAGAAAACACTTTATAATATGAGAATTTAATTCAATACTTTACTTTTGCATTTCAATAAAAAAAAATATAACTAAGGTAAAAAGAAATTTGAAACATTTTATAATCATGATAATAATTAAGAGATATAAATGATTGTGATTAACTGAGGGTATACAATGTTTCCCAATTTTATTAAGAGACCTGCTTAGACTGCATGAACTAATTATTCAGAAAAAAAATATTTCAAAATTTGTTTTAAACATTCTAGTATGCCTTTACCGACCCTCTTTATAGTTGTGCTCCATTTTCCTCTTCTTTTCAGCCTTGTATTTAGTGACCTTTGACCCCATCACAAAAAATGTTAGAAGAGAGGTAAAAAAGCAGAGATTGCTGATCGTTAGAATGAAACCAACAACAAGACCTGAAAAAAAATCATATTCATTGAACTTAGGATTTATCTTACTTAGGCTATTAAATTTATTTTTGTACCTTTTCCCTATAATAAGGATAAAATTAATCCATGAGTAAACTAATACAACTGCTTGAAATGTTTTAGTGAAATATTTTTTATAATATTAATTAATATAAATAATCAGAAAGTCCATGTGAAATCTTTACACACCTGTAGACTCTTACCTGCAATAACACCTGTTCTGTCCAAACTTTTCTTCTTCAGACCCCATGTTGCTATGACAACAGGCGCCAATATGGCCATCATCCATCTCCATGGGGAGACAGGGACAGTGTCTAAAAATAGATCAAGTCTTTAAAAGTACACTAATATATTTACAATGTGGCGGTGAATGGAAATCCCCCCCCCCCCTCCTCCCCAAAAGTTTTAAAAACTTTCTAAATGCTCAGACAATTAGTATATAACCGAAAAAGGTAGAATAGTTGTAGGCATTGGAATAAAAGTAAATTCAACATAAATTATAATGCCTAACGTACACAAGTATTTGCCGGTACAGTGCTAATAATGTCAACCTGTCAACAACATGAACAATGTGCATCCTCGTTTCTTTTCGTGCAGCACATTTAGCAGCTGTTGTAAATATTGCACTGTTATATGTTTTAGGAAAATAAATATTTACCATTGTAAACATAGCTGTATCCTATTGTTATAAGCCAGCAAATTAAACTGAGAGGCGTTACTATCCCAAGCAAGACCAGCCACATTATTCTACTTTCACTTTCATAGAAACTTGACACGTAAGAGAGATAACTCATGATGGAACATCTCCATTTGATATAGAGACATGATTATACAGTGTAAGTTCTCTCCTGTACAATAAAGGTCAAGGTCATATTAAGAAGTCAAAGGTCAAATTGATTTTTTGGTAAGATCATCTATTAGGCCTAATAGTGCTTATTGGAAAACTTAATTGAATTTTAGAATTACTGAAATTTTAAAAAAAATCATTCAAGATAGTGTAATCAAACTTCATATGCTGATACATACTGATAAAAGCTTTGCAACTGCATCAGCATTTTTTGACCTTGACCTTACCTTTGACCTTGACCTCATTTTTTTAAATTTGTGTCTAGCTCAGTTACAAAGAAACCATTCATAGTAATTTTTTTTATCAAAATTCATGTGCTGATACATATAGTGTAACATCAACATTTTACCTTTCCTATGACTTTGACCTGAGTATTTAACTCAATTTTAAAGAAACCATTTAAGATAATTTTTATCAACTGAATATGATTATATGTATTAGGGAGAGCTATTCAACTACATGTATCAAAAACATTTAACCTTGTTCTTGGGGGCGGAGGTGGGATCGATCGAGTACATGTAACATTTAGTGAGCGCACGTACATCTATTTTACGAGATAGAATAAGTGGCAGATCTGTAGCTTGCTTGTCTGAAAAATGCAATAAAGGACCAAAGAGATTTAAAAAAAATATATTTATAGCGCACAAAATGCACGTATTCTCGAATTATTTCTCAATATATTTCAAAATTATTACTAAACTTCTAATACGAAGATAACTATTCTTTTATAACTTTCAAAAGTCATGCGCGACGTACGTTGGAACAAATATGTCTTGCCTACGTATATAGGTGAAATTTTCGATGATCTAAATTTCAAATCTAGAAGGGCTACAGATACAAACAATTATTCAAAGAATAATTGTGAAAATAGTACTAAAAGAATATGTAACAAGAGGCCCATGGGCCACATCGCTCACATAAGTACATTGGCTAGGGGAAAAAAAAAGCAAAGATCACTTCAGTATTGAGAAGGGGGGCTTGAATTGTAAACTACCTGATGATGCTTCAATATCAATATAAAAAAAAAACTTTGCTGTTTTTGAGCAGATGATTTTTACCTGTTTATTCACTGGACGCCCCCCTCCCCCCATTGTGGCCCAACCCTACCCTTGGGGGCCCTCATTTGAACGAGTATGACTTTGTACTACCGGAGGATGCCTCCATATCAATATGATTAAACATAGCTTTTCTGTTCTTGGAAAAAAATCCTTGATATTTCTAGGTAAAACTTTGATCCCCAATTGTGGCCTACCCTACCCACCCCCTACTCCCCCGGTCATGACTTGAACAAACTTAAATCAACACTATATACTTGAGGATGCTTCCATAAAGATATGAGCAATCATGGCTTTGTGGTTCTTAAAATAAAGAAGAATTTTAATAAATTTTCCGATGTATTCATTCCTACGTAAAAACCTAATCGTCCATGGAGGCCCCGCCCTACCCTCGGGGGTCATGATTTGAAGAAAATTGAATGTAAACTACCTCGGGATGTTTTCATACAAGTTTCATCTTTCCTGGCCCAGTGGTTCTTGAGAAGAAGATTTTCAAAGATTTTTCCTAGTATATATTCCTATGTAAATCTTTGATTGTCACTTGTGGCCCCGCCCTACCCCCGGGGTTCATGATTTGAACAAACTTGAATCTATACTACCTTAGGATGGTCTCATATAAGTTTCATCTTTCACTAATTTTTAATTATTTTCCCTTGGAATAGGATGTGGTCCTTCATTTTAAAGAATTTGAATTCCTATCACCCAAGGATTTTTTAGGGCAAGTTTGGTTGAAATTGGCCCAGTGGTTCTTGAGAAGAAATCGAAAAGAAGTCGAAAATTTGAAAAGTTTACATACAAACAGACGGAAAGCTAGACAGACAGACGATCAAAATGTGTTCAGAAAAGCTCACTTGATCCTTCGGCTCAGGTGAGCTAAAAGACTCGGTTAGTAAATATGTAAGTCATTGCAGTGGAGTTATGTAATACATGTAAACTTCACAGAAATGGGTGTTTTTATTTTAATTTTCGAGTTAACTGAACGAATCATTTCAGTTGGGTTAGAAAAGAAACTATACACTCGACGAAAGGAAAGATATAAATTAAACAATAATGACTTTCTCTAATTAGCCGGCAATTTTCAAATGTCAATAATTATAAGTACACGACTAATTTCATGTAATTAATATTCAATGGCAAATTTGCCAAATAGTGTAATAACATGTCATGTAGATGTCAGTTGATATCGTTAAGGAAATTGAAATTCTAGAAAATAGTTTTGAAAAAGTAACTTCGAGGGCATTACAATTCCACAGAATATACTATATACGCCAAATTAGATCCGGCATAAACAGCATTAATCCCAATATTCATGTATTAATCAGCCGTGTATTTGTTAAGAACTGGGAAAAGCTACTGAATTTTTTCCTGTTACATGTATCAAATACTGTAACGGAGAACGACCCTTGCTTCAATCCACAAGTAATGATAATCAAAGGCCTTGAATTTTAGTCTTTTTCGATGATTAATATAGTATGTAAAATGCGTTAAAAAAATGATTTCCATTTTGATGCGCTATAGGAAATGTTTTTAGAAATTATCGCTCATTAAGATAATATGCTTAATATGCTTGATGTTAAAATTCAAAATGTTTTGTGTAATTAGCATCTTTTTGTAATTATTATCAAATTTTAAAAACTGGTTTCACTAAAAACATTGGCAAAATGACCATTGAGAAAGAAGGGAGAGCCGTTGGAATGTTGATATCTGGATCATCCTTATAAGAGAGAAAGGTCTTTCTTATAATGTATAGTGGGGTATTTTTTGAGGAGCGATTATTTTGTGGTTTTGACGATCTGTTCCTAGGCTATTGCAAACATGTTGAATAAGTGTACTAAATATAAATTGTGAAAAACAAAAAAGCTCTGGGGTTGAATATCGGGGGGGGGGGGGGTCCTGTCCACAAGTACCTGTGGTTTTACTCACTATTATCTGTCCTTGATATTACTTTTTTAAAATTAACAACCAGTATCAAAACCCATTAAAACACATTTTTCTATAGGCTGTGCGTCAATTTCACCGCCAATATATCACAATTTGAAAGCTTTGTAAAAATTTAACAAATTTTTAACAAACTTGTTTCATACTAAAAACAAATTGTCAAAATCTTAGAAATATGAAAACAAACAATTTAACTCGTATGAAAATGATAAGAATTGCTCGTGGCAATCGAATATCATCTCAAGTAGTCTGGATCATCCTTTAAGCGATGCACGTTTTAAACGCACTTTTATATTGACCAAAGGGCTGTGTGTGAAAATTAACAATTCCCGTATCAAATCCCATTGAACACATTTGGGTTTTTTTTAATAAGGAATGTCAAAGCCCCCCTTCCCCCTAATAAGCGATAAATTGTGATTAAAAGTTCATGTGTTAATGAAAAAGTCGTGATAGCGCTACAAAAATTTGCGGTTTTACTATCAAACTGTTGCATTTATGAAATTGACCAAATCTGTCAGTCACTAGCTGCAATAATGTAGCCCTCTCCGATTTGATATTTTCTGGAGAGGGCTACAATTCCATCGCATCTCCGTAATGGTGCAAATATATTTTTTTGAAATGATTGGAAAAATAAATTATTTTTACATTAAACTTACTTCTTATAAACAATTTTTACAATTTCAACAACATAGCCTGTTATGAAAACCATGTAAAATAAATCTGTGTCTTTCCCAGCTGCAATATTCAGCAGCCATGACAGTTCACTCGTGACGTAGTGAGACTTTCGCTTGAAATTTGGAACAACCAAATAAAGCAAATGTCGATGTTTATAAACGATTGTGCTTTAATATATTACAAAAACATCGAGGGTTATTTTTGCTGTGTGTGTGATGAAAATAAGGGAATTCAATGCTCCTATAGAACCTAAATTCTCATTGGCTGTCCCAAAATACAATCCATCAAGGTCAGTAACACATGGGGATTTTTTATAAGGAATGTGACACACACGAAAAATAACCGATATATGGGTCGTTGTGAATATTTTTGGATCGATAAATGTTTTGATAAAATATTTGGATTCCAGTGTTAATAAAATAGCCGTTTACTGATAATTTGCGCTACAAAAATTTGCCGCATCGGTTTATAGAGATCAAACTTGTAGCCCTCTCCCATGAAATTGAGAGGGCCAAATCTGTCAGTCACTAACCCCTTTTAATTTTATTTCGTAATGATTCCAAGTTAGATTGTCCTTTATCCTTAAATCTTTATGACATTTAAAACTATTATCTGTAAATAGCACGCATGCTTTTGAAGTTCTTTAAACCTTTAGCTGCAAAGGATATTAAAAAACCTACATCCGTAAAATAAACAGAACATACACTGCATTGACAACAGGGTATTTACCCTTTCATGTCCTTGGAAGTTTTCAAATCGATTCACAACATGATTGTCCCACACTTTTGCGAGAGGATATAGAATCCCATTCGTCTGTCAGTCTGTCACAAAAACTTTAACCTTTGGTCACAACTTTTTACAAATCGTGTTAAAGCTGCGTATTGCCCGCTAATTTAAAGTTGAACCCGATTCCTAAAAAGAATTTGTCCGCCATATTATATTGGATTCTCGCCATATCTGATGCCCTCTATCAACAGAGCAGCTCACTTTGTCACTGCATGTTCAGTGTAATCAGTCGTCACCGGTGTAGATGGGCGTACTTCTTCTAATCTTGCTAATGCAGAAGAGTAAAATCATATCAAAGAGACTTACAACAGTTGCAAAAGTCAGTGCAATTTACACACAAACACATACACACATAATTGCATTAAAATGTAAACAAAGGTAACTCAAGTTAACCAGCAGGAATACAGGTTGCCATTCCACGTCAATACCCTTGACAATAAAGCAGTCAGGTGTAAAGAATGCGAAGAGTTAATATACCCTAGTGCTAACATCATAGATAGCAAATCATATAAAAATGGCGTATGGACCGTGTTAAGCTGTAAGAAACATTCTAATAAATACATAATGACAAACCTTTGCTCTAAATATAAATTTCATTTAAATCTACGATAAAAACCTAAGTGATGATTAAAACTTAATTTTTTTTAAAAGATACGATGCTTTGTGAAGCCAATGAAGTAAATTTAAGTCATTATCAAAAATTTACACATAACCTGAATGAGAGAGTTGTGGATAAGAGATGGGTACCCCAAAGCGTAACAGACGGACGTACAGCTAGACAGACGGACGGACAGACATCCCGATTACCTATATACTTTCCAACTTTTCAAGCGGGGGTATAATAATAATGCTGATTAATATAACTGTTATATTATCATGTTGGCTTAAAAGACATGGCAAGGAAAAAGACGTCTTATTCCGACTTTCGTGTCACTTTTATTGATTAGCATATTCAAAAGAGTTTTAAAAATCTTCAAGTTCTTCATCCTTATAAATAAAGGCGGCTGGATAAATAAAAAAAGGATTATCAGGAATGAACAAAAGCTCACTGGTTTGTAGTGAGATGATTGAATTGTGGGTTCTTCATAGTCAGCCTGCAGATCATCTCAAAATAATTAAAACCCTATTCATCGTTTACCACTCCTGATTCAACAAAGTTAGAAGTCAAAAATGAAAAAAATATAACAGACATGGACAGCGAAATGTTAGATACGTAATTAAAAATTCCAGAGAAGGATGATAAAATCAAATCAAGGACTATGGGAAGTGATCAAATAATGAATAAAACCGTCAACGTTAACAATTCAAACTCCACTCCAGATGAAATCGTGTCAGAAAGCATAGTGCCGCCAAGTCTTCAATATGGCTTCGGAGTTCTTGGAAACATCATGGCTATATTTTTTCTCTGTCGTTCTGCCGGGGAATATAAATGGAAACCTTTCTACAGATTGGTATGCGGGTTAGCCATTACAGACTTGTGTGGGATTGCCCTAGTCTACCCTGCCGTTATGTTGCGCTATACATCTGGATTTACTTACGAATTTCCAAAGCCACTGTGTGAGTACTGTTCGTTCTGGTTTTCTTTTGCCTTCATGTCTTCGGCGCTGATCGTCAGTGCCATGTCTTTTGACCGTTTTCTGGCTGTTTGTTATCCATTATACTACAGGAATTCCCAGGATAAGAGAGCTAACGTCATGCTTCTGGCGATCTGGGTTTTTACCGCCACCGTGTCTTCTCTTAATCTTGTAGGCATTGGATCCGCCAAAAACTTTTACCCGGGATCCTGGTGTTTTATAGACTTCGCTAACACGGGTGTCATGGAAAGAATTAACACGTACATATATTCCATCATTGGCTTCGTTATTCTATCGATAACATTTGTCCTAAACGTAGCCGTCACTTATTCCGTTTGCAGAAAACCGGTTGTAACGACTGTTTGCAACAAAAGAAAAAGAAATGACATTTACATTATCGTTTTCCTGTTTTCTATAGTGACTCTTTTCTCCATTTGCTGGGTTCCTTTAATGGTGAGTACTTTTTAAATTGAAGGAAAATAAAAAGTTCGCGGTTTATACTTATTTTTCCAGAAGCTAAAGCTGAAACAAATTGTAGTGAATGATAGTCTCAGCTACAGTAAAACTCGGTTATAGCGAAGTCATTGGGACATATGAAATTACTTTGCTATATCCGTAATTCGTTATACATGTATCCGTATAAGGAATTTGTTAAATTTATAAAGCTGGGGATGTAAGATAACTTCGCTTTATCCGTGAATTCGCAATATCCCTATTTGTACTTAAACGATTTTTATTGTAAATAACACAAATTTTTTAACTTGCTATAGGTAAAGTGGGGGAATTTTGTCAGATTTTTGTCACAATGTCATAATGTGCCCAAATTATATGTATAGAATTACAAATATAACGAAACGATACAATGTCGAATTTTTCAGCACCAAAGAAAATTTATGATTTATTCATAGTACGGGGATTTATTATTTCAGTCATTTCTATTCAAAATCAGTCAAAAATACACACCAACCTGTGCATTAATGTTTTGTTTGTGCAAAGAACCCTTAAGATTGAAATGACAGGTTTTCCCCGTTATAATTCTCTAGAGAACATTTTTCATTATTGAATGTTTTTCAGCCTTGATCCTTGTAGGTTCTTAAGCTTTTTTTTAAACATTTCAGCCAGTTTTATTAATCTGATAAAGTAATTTCGAAGTTGTTGTAACACTAATTCAATGGAAGATCAGGTCATGAAAAGGATGTCTAAAAATCAAAAATTCTGGTTTCACGCTCTGTACGAAGACAATTGAAATAGCGGTTTATAGACGAGGCAAGAGAACATTTTATGGTATAAGAAACGAGCGATTGGTGTTTGTGTGGCCAGAACATCGCGGTCCAAGCGACAGTATTTGGGAAACACGATATACTGTCGTAGAATTAAATAAAATGCGATAAAGCGTCTCTTCTCCGCTGATTCGTATCTTTAATCATTTTATATTGTTTACCCATATGTCCCATAATGCCGATCCCACTCAAAACGATTAAAATTGATTCCCACAATACAATAAGGCACAAATCACTCTTGTCACAATGTTAAAGCCAAGTTTTATTTTCTGTGATAAATTAATAATCAGGGATCGTTTTTAACTTTAATATTGCCCTGGTCGTCCGCGTGGCGAAGTGGTTAAAGCGTCTGCTCTAGACTCGCAAAGTAAGGAGTTAATCCTTACGTTGCAGGTTCGAACCTCACTGTGGGACGTGGTGACCGGTCCTTCGGATGAGACCGTATTAACCGAGGTCCCGTGTCGCAATAGGTGCTGGCACGAAAAAGATCCCTCCCTGCTCAATGGCCGAGCATAGGACAAAATTTGCAGCTCTCCACTGGCAAGTGGTGGCGTCTCCTTATGAGGGAAAAATTCTCGAAGAGGACATCAAACAACATACAATCAATCAATCAATCAATCAATCAATCAATCAATCAATCAATCAATCAATCATATTGCCCTGTTTCATTATCACGAAGCATTATGAATACCTGCAGAACCTAGCTCTCCGAAAAAATATATTGACAGACCATATTGACACCGGTATATTTTTTTCAGAGAGCAATTCTGAAATTGGTACCAGGCATTATATAATTTATGAGAATTTATAATATATCATATTAGTTTACTAGTATTTGACAATCTGAAATTGGTACCAGGCTTATATATGATTTCTGCAAGTTACGGCCTACCCGCGATAAAGTTGACGATGATATTCTTTTACAAAAACCTTATAAAATTTGCTCTTTTCTGATTCATATGCATATTAATACTATAATAGTCGATGGCTAAACTATAGTTAAAAGTCACGCCTTCTCCAGTAAACTGAAAAAAAGTTGATATTTTTTTAATATATTTATATTTGTTTGATAAGGCAAATTTCAATGTACAATTATCATCTGCAGACTGTGTTTATGACTATGTCTATGATCGATTACATTCAATACGCAAAAATAGATGAAAATTTTAACCTTTCCCTATTCAAATTAAAGTCCATATGACAGGCCCCTTTCAACGTTAAGTTCTTCACCGTGATATAATATTAGGTCGAGGCTATCTGGTACTGATTGCAGGGTGGCGGACAGGAGTTATCTTTCCATAAGTGCGTACACTGTACGAGTTATATTAATGCCAAAGGTTCAATATGTTGTTACAGTGATATTACGTAACGTGCTCTTATGTACAGATATCATATGAAACAAGTGTGTATGTTGATATATGTACAGTACATTATGTTACAGGTTGGTATGTTGATACTATATTGAACAAGTTTTGGGTTGCATGTTGGTGATATTACATGTACGAGTATATGTTACAGGTTGCAAATATTAAGGTTTGTTTGTCGGTGATATAAATGTACCTCACAGGTTCCTATGTTGATGTTAAGATATTTATGTCGGTTATACTGTAAACATATTACATTTGGCTGTGTATTCTTTTTAGCGATTCAACATGTAAATTTCTTGCACATATATACATAAATAAGAACATTGAGAAATGCGCTAAATCAAATCTACGCTAACTCGTTCAAAAGTCAATTTCCGCCAAATATCGTACACGCTAATTATAATTACATTTACAGTATATTGTGTATGTTACACGTTCTTATGTTGATGTTAAGGTTTGTATGTTGGCGATTTAACTTGTATGTTACAGGTTCGTATGTTGACGAATGCCAGCGCCAGGACTCCTAAGAATGGACCAGAAGAACTTCTTGTCGTTCGACTGACCATCAGTAACTCTATTGTGGACCCGTGGATCTACATCATTCTACGCAGAGAAAATCTTGTCAAGATAGCGGCTTTGATTCGTAGACTTAATAGTCGTAAACACAAGCAAGGAAACATCTTCAATATTGAAACATGTGCTGGTGGGAATAGAATGAACACAAGCGAACACACCCCGAAATCGAGCATTGCTTCTTGTACAACAGAATTATAAATACAATTTACGAATTAGTGTTGTTTTTTTTTCACTATAAATATCTTTCAATTTTCTTTACTGCATTGCTT